AAACATCGCGAAAACTGCATAAGGATGCACACAAATACCACGAAACGCTGAAGAATTCCAAATATCAGCAGAGAATTTTAAACGTAGAGCAGAGTAGCTTCTGCCCGCTAATTTTTGGATGCACCGGTGGCGCTGCTCCAACAGCCACGCGGACGATGCAGCGATTGGCCGAAAAACTAAGTGAAAAAAGACAAGAAATCTATCCAGAATCTATAAACTACATAAGAACTAAAATAAGCTTCGCGCTCCTGAGGAGCTCTATACTTTGTATAAGGGGGTGCAGATCGGTACGCAAAGTTCAATTTATCGACAACTCCATAAGCGCTATTGTAGAGGAAGGACGGCTAAGATAAATTAACATTACGACGATGCATTTAATGCTGATTTATGACTTCATTGCTGATATATATGCATTTTTATATCGCTGGTATGGCCCTATCCAGCTTGTGCACTTACCGTAACTAAACGGAAGGGCCCCTTTTGTAATTTAGTTTTGTTTTTAAAAAAATTTTCATGACATCAGAGGCTGGTTCAAGTACACCGCCCTCCGATCTGTCGGCAAGGAGCCTTAAAGCTGGCGTAATTTTACCTTCCATGATTAATTTGGCAGACGCTTTTTGTGTTTGTGCTAAAGAAGGACTAATGAGTTGCTTCGGTGTGCGGGATTGGATAGCGATAGCCTCGTCCATTATTTCAGTAATATCACCATCCTGCAACAACGACAAGCGCCTTTCAAGAGCAGCAACATGCTCACGCGTTTTTGAACTTTTCGATGGTTTCTGTAAAAGTAACGGGGGCAAAACAAAGTTTTCTTCCAGTGCACTACATGTTTCATGGAAGTGTTATTAATGGAAGTTTCAAACTCAAGGCCAGAAAACTTGCCCCAGGCTCGCTCAGGGCGCCTACACTTATAATGATCGGGCATTAACAGGTCCGGCCACTCCTCGGCGTCGTTTGAGAGGACGTCATAGGATTCACAGAAAAATGCTTGTCTCCAAGTTTCAATACTGCTTTCTCAGATATCTTTGCACAGGAATAATGGAACCAAGTAAAGCAACGATCACACTGAACACCTCACGTTCTGACAAGACCACTATACTTGCACCCAGCATTGCCACATTGTGCGGTTGCTTCTGTTCCCGGTAGATTCGGCATCAAGACGCTGATCGTCAACTAGGTTCATGGACAATCTATTGAACAAAGTTCATCACAACAATTAGGCTTGTTCAGCTTCTCGTCTTTTGCAATGAATGGTGAGAACAAGCATCCGTCTAGTTCTGGGCCTCCACGGCTGCTCCGTCCCCGTGGCATTATCCCTAAAGCTATTTAATAAGTTTATCACAATAATAAGGCATACAAATCTCTTATCACAACAGTTAATAAATCTATTCAAACTTATTAAAGCTACATAATAAGTTTATCTTAACAATAAAAGGAGGTACGCTATCTCTCTTTGCTGCTGACTGATTCTGTCTTAACCGATTAATTTGGTAAAAAGTTTTTTCTCATAATTCACTTTAAATATAGTTCCATTTAAGTTAAAGACTTTTCAAGAGGTTTGAAAATCTAAAAAGTCTTCTGAAGAGTGCAATCCTCTGCCCCAGGGGGTGCAAAAACTTAAAAATACATACAACAAACAATTCCATCAATGCTTTAATCGAGGAGGGTAGATTTTAATTGACAGTTCTCTGGATGCTTTAAAATTGACTTGATTTGTTCATTAAATTTTGCCGATATATTTGAATAGCGTTGGTATGGCTCTATCCAACCTGTGCATGGACCGTCGCATGACGGAAGGGCCCATTTTATTTTTTAGATTTGGCGAAGCTACTTCTCTTTGAAGAAAAATTATTAAAAAGTGAATTCGAACGTTTTCGGAACTATGTCCGTTGTCAGGTTAATAATATTGATAGAAAATCTTTTACAGACGTTAAAACATCATAAAAGACTATTAAGTGGTTCTAAACGAAAAATAAAATCTTTCCACTAATCAATTTCTCTGTCCCTGAAGAATGATTCCGTTTCCCGTCGATTTGGAGAGGCTTCGCGCTTTTTTGAAGGAGTGCGACATCATCTTCATAACTCTCAATATGGTTTTCGTAAAAAACGTTCAGCAATTACCCAACTCCTTGCTTACTTACATCAAGTATACCTAAATTATGATGACCAAACGACCAAAAATATAACAGCGCTCTATCTAGATTTTGAAAAAGCTTTTGACTGCGATCCGCATCAACTTTTAATGCATAAATTGAAGTGTTATGGATTTGGAGGAAAAGCAATTCAACTAATAGCCTCTTACTTATTTCTTCGAAAACAGTATGTGGGAATAAACAAAGCAAAGTCTAAGATATGTTACGTAACAAGTGGTGTCGCTCAAGATTCTCTATTGGGACCATTACTTTTCATACTATATATAAACGACTTACCAGAAAACTTGAATCTAGTTGACTCTTTTGGATATGCTGATGACTTTAAGATTATAGCAACAACTCAAACAGAAATGAACTATGCCACTACGACAATTGAAAATTGGTGTAGTAAAAACCAAATGCGTCTAAATACCGGAAAATGTACTCTCGTTAATTTCAAAAACGAGCTGGAAGGTCAAATTAATGGAAATATCCTATAAATTGAAACTGAACAAAAGGATCTAGGAAATTTAGTAACACCCACTCTCTCATGGAATGTAAATGCGTCTAAGCGTTGACAGAAGTCGCTATCGGCTTTTTACTCACTAAAGCGGAACCTCTCTAAAAACTGTCCTATAACTTCTAAGCTAAATGCCTACACGGGATATGTAGTCCCAATTGTAGTTTAAGGCGCGTCAGTAACGCACTACTCGAAATCAAACCTCCGAGCAATTGAAAAGGTTCAGCGAACGGCGACACCAAATGGATGCTTAACTCACATATCCCAAATAAGTGTAGACTACAAAAATTAAGCATGCTACCGCTGTCTCTGTACATTGAAATGCACGACCTCCTTCTGTTCATTTCTATAGTTCGCAATAACTACGAAATTGACATTAACCAATATGCCGAAAACACCAAAAGCTCAACAAGACAAAATGAAAGAAACGAATATCAAATACCGAAAACTCGCCTTAAGAAAACCAACTCAGACTTCTTCATTAGATGCCCAGCACTTTTCAATGTCATAATTCGACATACCTCAAAACAGTTAACTGACATACAGAAATCTGACATAGCGGAAATTTATTGGAAATTCTTCAAAAGATACTCAGAAATGGACAGCTGCACATGGCGAATAATGTGTCCATGTGGAAACTGTAACCCAAATAGAAAACTCAGAACTCTTTAACACTAAAACTACATTTTGGTTGCAAACCCATGGGATAACAACCCTAAATCCTGTTCTACTACTACTACAAGTATAATGATTTTTCAATTGCTGCAGAAGTTGAGTTTTATTGTTTCCCTTTATTCGAATCACGTGTGGTTTTGCGCAATTCGAATTCCAAAATAGTTACAACGTTTCAAGTATTCAGTAGAAATCGAAAGCAACGGCAAAATTATTTGTATAGTTTGTTCGTCTAGACGTAATCACATTCAAGCGATTATATGAACATTTTGAAAAGATTTTCCACAAGGCACAGTACGGATTTCGGAAAAACCGATCGACCATTGTTCAGCTTTTAACATTTTTGCAGCTAGTCTATAACGGTCATGAAAATGGCGACAGTATCGAAACGGTTTTTACAGATTATAGTAATGCTTTTGACCGTAATGACCACGGAATTTTGTTGCGGAAATTATTCGAACAAGGAGTCAGGGATAAAAACTTGAAATTAATTAAATCATACCTAACAGAAAGGTCTCAAGTCGTACGAGTAAATGGCGAAATATCAAATTCAGAAAAAGTAACGAGCGGTGTACCCCAGGGCAGTACTTTGGGACCCTTGTTTTTCTTGGTTTTCATAAATGACCTGCCTGACAAATGCAATACAGTTATACCATTATTATTCGCAGACGATGCCAAATTCATTAGCATAAATTTGGGGAGGGATGAATTTCAAAAAGACCTTGACAATGTGAATCTATGGACCCTGGAAAACAATATGCCTTTCAACGTAGATAAATGTACGCTCCTGAATTTTGGGAAAAATCGATTTTCTTTCAATTTCAATAATGAACAAATAGCTCATGTAGACTGTCAGAAAGACCTTGGACTAATCGTATCAAATGATCTAACATGGAGCCAACATATGGAAAAAGCATGCGTAAAGGCAAACAGAGTGTTTTTCATGATAAAGAGGAATACATCAAATCTACACTGGAAAGCAAAATTAAACCTGTATAAATCGATGGTCATTCCCGTAATAATGTATGCTAGTTCTTGCATAGGTCTAAACAAATACGTCATGACACAATACGAGATATTTCAAAAAAGGGCGGTAAATTGGATTTTGCATAGTAAACATACCAATTACAAAGATAAACTTAAACGACTACAAATTTTACCATTGCCCATGTACATACAATTGAACAACCTGTTACTGCTGGCAAAATTAATTTTGAAACGATACGATACTTATATGATTGATGTTCCACAATACATAGATTTCTCTCGCTTTCCTATGTTTCAGCTAAAGCGTCCATCAAAGTACAGGTGTGAACAAAATTTCTTTTACCAGACATGGCGTCTTGCGAATGCACTTAGGATAGATTTGCGAAATTGGTCTGGACTGAAAGGCGCCCTGCTCAGTGTTCTGGAACAAATTTGCACTCTATGACGAAAGAAATAAATGCACATGGAAGCTTGCATGTGATTGTGCGACAAACAATTGTAGAACTAGACTCGCGATATGAGACGTGAAGGATGACAGGGGCCTGGACCCCTTGTGGAAACACTAAATCCCTACTACTACTACTAATACACATATCGCAGGTCTTGCGTCAGACAACTGTGGTCAAATGCCCTTCATTAGTAGTGTTTGGCTCAGTTCCAGATCTGTTTTTTTTTGGTTAATCACTTGGAAAAACAACTGGGCCAACAAAAATACCGTGGAAATATCCGCCTAGCTATAGTTTGTCTGCAGCTATAGTTCTAATGTTTTCAGGTTTTTGTGAACATGCAGCGAAATATTACCAAGCTTCGTCTGAATGCCCAATTGTTGACAAGGTCTTTATCCAGAACAATATCTGTCCAAAATGAACCTGTTCTGAGCTTCAAAAAAGGCAGTAGTGAAAGAGCTGAATTAGAACGTGCACTCGAGTCTCTTAGGAAGGAAACGGTCACTGTTCCAGTTGTTGTCGGGGGCAAAGAGTATTTTTGCGACAATTTTACACACCAGCCATGCCCATACGATCATCAGCATAAAGTGGCGAAAGTTCATTTAGCCGATGAAGTTCTTTTGAAATCTGCAATTGACAATGCATTGGAGGCACGTGAAAAATGGGACATGACACCTGTGAAAGAACGTACGAACATTTTCTTGAAGGCTGCTGATCTTTTAGCCGGACCTTGGAGGTCTAAAATCTTGGCCGCGTCTATGATGGGACAAGCCAAAACTGTGATGCAAGCGGAAATTGATGCAACATGTGAACTGATTGACTTTCTGCGGTTTAACAGCAAATTTGCTATCGAGATGGATCAAATCCAACCAACCGATACTGATGATGCCACAAACCATGTCATTTATCGAGGCCTCGAAGGCTTCGTTGCGGCAATCACGCCCTTTAATTTTACGGCAATCAGTACTAACTTAGCAACTGCCCCTGCAATTATGGGCTGTGTTACGTTATGGAAACCGACGACTTCTGCAACACTTGCTAGTTGGGTTGCTTACCAAGCGCTTCTGCAAAGTGGACTGCCCGATGGTGTAATTCAATGGGTCCCGACAGAATCGAAGTTCATGGGATCTGTTTGCATGCAGTCACCTCATCTAGCGGCTTTGAATTTCACGGGTAGCACAGCTACTTTTAAACATTTATGGAAAAGCATAGCTGACAACGTGGATAAGTACCGAACGTTCCCAAGAATTGTCGGTGAAACGGGAGGTAAAAACTTCCATTTTGTTCACAACTCAGCCGAGATTGAATCAGTGGTGGGAGCAACCATTCGCTCGGCCTTTGAGTTTCAAGGTCAAAAGTGCTCTGCTTGTTCGAGGATGTATGTTCCTAAATCAAAAGCCGAAGAAATCAAGCGGAGGCTAGTTGAAGAAACGAACAAAATTGAGGTGGGTGCTGCGGATAAGTTCTCCACCTTCGTCTCTGCAGTGATCGATGAACCAGCTTTTAATCGAATTGTCAGGTATATCGATGACGCCAATAGAAGAAAGAACATAACATGCCTGGTTGGAGGCGAATATAGTAAGCATACAGGCTATTTCGTTCAGCCCTCGATTTACGAAGCCCATGACCCGAGAGACCCTATGATGACTGAAGAAATTTTTGGACCAGTTTTGACTATCTATGTTTACGATGATAGTGAGGCTGAGAAATTCCTCGATATTTGTAACACCGCGTCTGTCTACGCATTAACAGGCAGTATTTTCTCTCAGGATAAAGCCTTCATGGAACTAGCCCGAAAGAAGCTTAGACATGCATGCGGGAATGTCTATTTGAATGATAAAAGCACAGGAAGTGTGGTAAATCAGCAGCCGTTTGGAGGAGCGAGGTTGTCGGGAACCAACGACAAGGCTGGGAGTCCGCAGTACATGGCAAGATGGTCCTCGCCGCTGGCGGTGAAAACTGCGATTGGAGATAGAAAGACATGGAGATATCCATACATGGATTGAGGACTGAATTTGATAAGAAACAACAGAATGTGAACTAGGTAAAAGGTTGATGAATATTTATTTGGCCAATGTCGAATATATTTGAAAAAAGTTGGATGTGATAGAAATTACTATTAATTGAAAATCTTGTAATTGTTTCGACCACTGAAAGGGAGGAGAAACTGTCTTCGCGTGTGCTTAAGTGTTTTTCCCACGCAAAATCAGGTACCACAAATAATCGTCAAAGTGGATAATAAGTCAATGTGGATATCATAATAAATCGCCTTCAGTCATGGACGATATCAAAAAGTCTCCAACGTTTATCGGAGTGTCGAGGAAACCCGATTTGAATTTTTAATGTCTGAGTCCAATTTCGAGCGGATAAAGTGAGCGAGCAGGCTTTTAACAGGTCGATTAGCTTTTTATTAAAGATGTGAAAAAAATTAGTTCAACTACAGTAAAATTAGTTTTTGAAGTGTCAAGCGCTCTCTTGGTGTCGATTATGCTCAATTTAGCAGTACCATCGAATATACCTAAGTTGTAGGGTTTCGTTCAGATATTTTCTTATCATTACGAACACACAATTTGAAAGCTTTTATTTGTTGTTTTTCTTAGTGTGGTCGGAACTTTCTAATTAGTGCTAAGCAACTGGATATTCTTGTGAGTGCATGGAGCTTGTGTTTTATATCCAGTCCACGGTTTTTTTGCATAATACGTCATTGCACATCATTGCTTAGTTCTGTGCAAAACTGTCTACGCAATTTCAGCAACATGTTTTCCATCCATTTACTTGAAGCACTTTCACTGCTTGCTACAATTTACCAGTAAAGCTTGGGCGGAAATGCAAATAACCTCCATTTGTCGTGTGATTACTTTTTTTGCATAGATCTGGAGATTTTTGGCACTTAAATGCTAGTGAATCAGGGGTGTTTTTAAAGCTTTCTCTCAAGCTTTTAAACACCTCCGACGGTTTCTATAATGGAGAAAAAAGTAACGTAACTAGTTAACTGAAAAATAGTTTTAATAAAGCATAAACATTTTCAGGTTGCTTTATAGTAGTAGCTATTTACTTGGCTTTGATTGAGTCAATTGCTTATCCCAAATAAAAACGTTTTCTGCGACAAAAAGTGAATGAAACACTTAGCACTATTTTCATTTCTAAAAACAACCTTTTTGACATTTTAATTTGAGCTGTAACTTTCACTTTTTTTTTTTTTACCCTGCACAAAAACTTTTCTTACATTACGAGGCCAAACTGTGCATTCTCTGCATTGTAAGCGGAATCCGCAACAGGCCAAAATCTGATTTGTCGCGGAATCCGCAACATTGATACTTTTCTTTGATCTTCTATGCTGTTTTGGATTCCACAAACAAATACCTAAATCATTGTACCGCTCAAAGTCGCTCGGAAAATAGGCGAATTTGCGGAATCTAGAACAGTTTGTGGAATCCACAAACAAATGATAAAACATTTGTATCGTTAAATTGAGCTGTTGCGGAATTCGCAACTGTAAGTGGAATCCGCAAATTGTAAGTGGAATCCGCAAATTGTAAGTGGAATCCGCAAATTGTAAGTGGAATCCGTATTTTGTTTGCGGATTCCCTTTACATATATTTATATGTGTAGTAGCCTTTAAAATTATATCTTTTAAATACATGATTTGATTTTAATATAATAGAAATTTACTAGAATAGATCAGTGTTTGGGATTAATGGAATCCCAATTACTGACCAGTATTTGGGATCGATGAAATTCCAAATACTGAACTAATTCGACGGTTTGCTATGCGTTGGGTTTCTAATCAATCTCAACCTAATGACTCCAAATAATGGATATATTCCATATTTATTCCACGTTATTCCAGTTTTTTGGGATTCCATCAGTCCCAAATACAGACCGCTATTTGGGATCGACGCAATCTCAAATACTGACCTAATTTGTCGATATGCTGTGTGTTCCATACACTCTCAACTCAATGACTCCCAATATTGAAATTATACGGTGTTGTGTTTCCAAAATACTAAAAGATGACATGCACCGATTTAGGTAACCAATGCTTTAAGACTTGTTCGTGGATTCCGCTGACAATGGTTAAGTCTTTGCTTTTAAATTCCGCATTGCTAGAGATAAGAATCCCTCACAGTTTGCGGAATCCACTTACATTTGCGGATTCCGCTTACATTTTGCGGAATCCACTTACAGTTGCGGAATCCAGAACAACTAGCTATATTTGCTTGTTGCGGAATCCGCAACAAAACAAATGTGCCGAAAAAATTTACGTTACAGGTATATGTATGCGGAATCCACTGAAATTTTGTTTGTGGAATCCACTTACATTTTGGAACATATTTTAAGACTTGTCTCTGGAATCCAGGAACATACAGACACAAAATTGTGCTCCTATCCAGTGCACAGTTTGGCCTCGTAATGTTAGACTAACAAATAAGCAAAATCAACCGAGCTTGTTAAACCCTATATTGATGTGATGTGAGAGTTCACTCAGGAGTTGCAAATTTGGCGTCCAAGTCAGACTGCTCAAATTCTTTGGGTTTTCGAGATATGGCGTTTTTCAAGATTTTGCTCAAATCATATTGGTTTTCGAGAGTTAGCGTTTTTTTAAATGATTTTTCAGTTTTTCTTTCAAGAGAAAATTAGATATAAAATAAAGTAATCGAACTTGAAATGTTCAACTCTGTAGTAGGGTACTGTCAGGATACACTAGGGAATTGGAAAGCTGGCGTCCAAATTTGACTGCAAAGCAGCAGATACTTTTGCTTTTCGATATATATAGTTTTTTTAATGATTTTTTTCAAAAAAAAATTAGATATAAAATATTGTAAGCGAACTTGAAATTCTCAATTTATACTGGGATGGTATCAGGGTACCCTCAGCAGTTGCAAAGCTGGCGTCCAATTTTGACTGCTCAAATCATTTTTGTTTTCGAGATTTGGCGTTTTTTATAAGTTTTTTAGTTTGTTTTTCCAAAGAAATAAAATAAAGTGACCGAACTTGAAATTTTCAAATCTATAGTGGGCTTTGCAAAATACACTGAGGGAAATGCAAAGCTGGCGTCCGAATTTGACCGTTCAATTCCTTTTGGTCTTCGCGGTATGGCGTTTTTAATGATTTTTTCAGTTTTTTTGTCATAAAAAAAAACAGTTATGAAATGAAGTTACCGTACGTTAAATTCTCAACCCCATAGTGGGGTGCTGTCAGGGTACACTCAGGATTTTCAGAGCTGGCGTCCAAATTTGACTGCTCAAAACATCAGATACTTTGGGTTTTCTAGATATGGCTTTTTTCTATAATTTTCTCATTTTTTTTCGAAAAAAACTTAGATAAAAATAAAGTAAACTATTTGGAAATTCTCAACCCTATAGTGGGGTGCTATCCAGGTATACTTAAAAGTTGCAAATCTGGCGTCCAAACTTGACTGCTCAAATCAGTTTGATTTTCAAGGTTAGGCCTTTTTATGATTGTTTCAGTTTTTTTTTTTTCAAAAAAAATTAGATATAAAATAAAGTAATCGAAATCAAAATTTTCAACTCTGTTGTGGGCTACTGTCAGGATACACTAAGGAATTGCAAAGCAGGCGTCCAAATCTGACTGCTCATCCTTTTGGTTTTCGGGGTATGGCGTTTTCCGTGATGTTTTCAGGTTTTTTTTAAAAAAAACCTAGATAAACAATGAAGTAACCGTACCTGAAATTCTCAACCCCATAGTAGGGTGCTGTCAGGGTACACTGAGGAGTTGCTGAGCTGGTGTCCAAGTTTGACTGCAAAACATCAGATGCTTTTGCTTATCGATTTATAAAGTTTTTATGATTTTTTCAAAAAAAGTAAGATATAAAATAAAGTAACCGAACTTGAAATTCTCAAATTTATACTGGGATGCTATCAGGGTACACTCAGGAGTTGCAAAGCTGGCGTCCAAATTTGACTGCTCAAATCATATTGGTTTTCGAGAGCTGGCGTTTTTTATGATTTTTCAGTTTTTCTTTAAAAAAAACGTTAGATATGAAATAAAGTAACTGAACTTGAATTTTTCAAGTATATAGTGGGGGTACTGTCAGGGTACACCCAAGGAGTTGCAAAGCTGGCGTCTAATTTTGACTGCTGAATTCATATTGGTTTTCGAGAAATGGCGTTTTTTATAATTTTTCAGTTTTTTTTCAAAAAAACTTAAATGAAATGAAGTAACCGAACTTGAATTTTTCAAATATATAGTGGGGGTATTGTCAGGGTACACTCAAATAGTTGCAAAGCTGTCGTCTAATTTTGACTGCTCAGATCATATTGGTTTTCGAGAAATGGCGTTTTTTTTTTATTTTTCATTTTTTTTTTCAAAAAAAATTATATATGAAATAAAGTAACCGAACTTGAAATTTGAAATTTATAGTGGGGTATTGCCAGGGTACACTCAAAAAGATGCAAAGCTTGCGTCGAAGTTTGACTGCTCAAGCAATATTTTTTGCGTTATGGGTTTTTTTAAAATGATTTTTCGAGTTTTTTTTTTCAAAAAAAACTTAGATATAAAATGAAGTAACCGTATCTAAAATTCTCGAACTCATATTGGGGTTCTGTCTGGGTACAGTCATGATTTTTAGCGCTGGCGTCCAAATTTGACTGCTCAAAACATCAGATACTTTGGGTTTTCGAGATATGGCGTTTTTCATAGTTTTTTCAATTTTTTTCATAAAGAAAACAGATTTTAAAAAAAGTAACCGAACTAACGAAAAAAAGTAACTAGCGGGGTACTATCAGGGTACACTCAGAAGTAACCGAACTAACCGATAAAAAAGTAACTAGCGGGGTACTATCAGGGTACACTCAGAAGTTGCAAGAGAAGCTGGCATCCAAATTTGCAAGCAAAACTGGCGTTCAAAAACATATATTAAATAAAGTAACCGAACTTGAAACTTTGAATATATAGTGGAGTTTTGTCAGGGTACATTCAAGGAGTTGTAAAGCTGGTGTACAAATTTGACTGCTCGAATCCTTTTGGTTTTTGCGGCATGGCGTTTTTCATGACTTCTCAATTATTTCAAAAAAAACTTAAATATAAATTAAAGTAACCGTACTTGAAATTCTCAACCCTATAGTAGTTTGATGTAAGGGTACACTCAGGAGTTGCAGAGCTGGAGTCCAAATTTGAC